ATCCTATTACCCCAGTTAGAATGGCTATTATCAGTAAGACAAAAGATAAATGCTGGTGAAGATGTGGAGAAAGGGGAATTCTTATACACTGTTGATAGGAATGCATATTAGTACAGACAGTATAAAAAAAAGTTATAAGCAGGCCAGTTAGCTCAGTTGGTGAGTGCATAGTGCTGATAACACCAAGGTCTGAGGTTCCATCCCTGTACTGGCCAGCAAAACAAACAAAAACCAGTATGAAGTTTCCTCAAAAGATTAAAAATAGGGCTGGCCAGTTAGCAAGGTCAAGGATTTGGTTCCCAGTATTGGCCAGCCACGAATAAAATAAAAATGAAACTACCATATGAACCAGCAATCTCACTATTGAGAATATACTCCTCCAAAATGAAATCAGTATGTCAAAGAAATATATGCATCCCCTTATTTATTGCAGCACTGTTCACAATAGCCAACATATGGAATAAATCCAAGTGTCAATCAATGGATAAAGAAAACGTGGTACATATACACAATGGAATACTATTCAGCAATAAAAAAAGAATAAAATCCCATCACTTATGGCAACATGGATGAACTTGGAGGACCCTATGTCAAGTGAAGTGGGCCAGGCACAGAAAGACATATACTACATGATATTACTCATATGAGGAATCTAAAAAAGCTGATCTCAGGCTGCCTGGTTAGCTCTAGTGGTTAGAGCGCAGCCTTATAACACCAAGGTCAGGGGTTCAGATCCCCATACCAGCCAGCCGCCAAAAACTTAATAAATAAAAATGCTAGTCTCACAAAAGTAGACAGAAGAATAGTAGTTACCAGAGGCTACAGGAGGGAGATGGAAGGGAGGAGAGGATGCAGAAAGATTGGTTAGCAGGTACAGGGTCACAGATAGGAGGGAATAAGTTCTGGTGTGCTATTGCACAGTAGGGTGATTATAGTTAACAATACTGTATGGGTATATTTCAAAATAGATAGTAGAGAAGATTTTTAAAATTCTCACCACAAAGTAACAATGAATGTTTGAGATGATGGGAATGCTAAATACCCTGACTTGATCATTACACAATATATATATATATGAGGATACTGAAAAAAGTTCATGGAAAAACAGAATTAAAAGGTAACATTAATCTTTCCATGAACTTTTTGAAGTACTCTCATATGTATCAAACATCTCACTGTACCTGATTAATATGTACACCCCCCCCCCCCCCCCAAAA